CAGCTGTAGCACCTGTAGCACCTGTAGCAGCCTGTAAGCAGCCTGTAGCAGCCTGTAGCATGACTGTAGCTCAAGCCTGTGCAGCCCTTAGCAGCCGTAGCAGCCTGTAGCAGCCTGTAGATTGTCCAGCTCGATGGGATGTCCTGGTGTAATATCCACCTCCGTTTCTTCTCGATATATAAATGTCCCTGTTCACATGTATTTCTTTCAATGATCACACATTTTTTCACTTTATTATCTTTCTTTTTTGACACGTGGCAGGGTCGCCTGGAACACAGCTCCTGGCCCCGCCTCTTCACTGGTCACTACTAGGTCACTCTTCCTGCTCTATGAGCTTTATCATACTTCTTTTTAAAGCTATGTATGGATCCTGCTCCACTACATCACCAGCGCTGTATAGCCCTTGTGGTTTAGCGCTTCTTTTTTTTATAATAATAATAATAATAAATAATAATAATAATAATAATAATAATAATAATAATAATAATAATAATAATAATAATAATCCACTACATCACTTCCCAGACTATTCCACTTTCTGACAATTATGTGTAATAAAGTTGGTAGAATTACCGACAATATGTAAAGTAAAAGGACACAAGTGCAACTAATGTGACATTTATTGTGGCAACGTTTCGCTCTCCAGGAGCTTTATCAAGCCATTACAAACATACATGGACACAGAGGGTATATAAAGGCTCAGAGTGAGGTGCAACACTAGTGAGGTACCATTTCGATGTTCACTAGTGGTAGTAGTAGTAGTAGTAGTAGTGGTAGTGACAAAAGTAATACAATATGGTAGAGCAATTAATTCGTACATGAGTAAAAGGATATAAAAGCTATTACTTGGGTAACATAAAAATAGATTGGACAAATTTTAAACTGGAATGAGGCAGCTTGTTTCAGTGTTCACTCTCTGTGCTGTGTGTAGTATAACAGGAGAGACTATGTGATGGCAGGGTTTACTGTTTTCAGGAGGATTCTTGCTAAGACTTCGGAGATGGTGAAGCTGCCGTTGTTTTGTTTAATTATATTCGAAACAGCGATCAGTGCTGATTCGAGGCACTTGTGTCTGCGGAAATTAGTTTCTTTGATCACAAATTGGGCGTCTCTGAATTTCATGAGATGATTGGAGGAATTTCGGTGTTGTACACAGGCGTTGTTCAGGTTATCGTTCCTACATGCGTAAATGTGTTCATTGAGGCGGGTGTCGAGGTTTCTGGCTGTTTCACCTACGTAAATCTTGTCACACCCTCCACAGGGTATAGTGTAAACTCCTGCATTGACTGGTTCGTGGTGCTTGGATTTGTCCTGGTTATATCCTTTATTGAAGTGCTAGAAGCGATGGCGACTCTGGTGTTAGCTTGTGAAAGTGCTTTTGAGACGTTCAGTGCAACCTGACTGTTGGGAAGAATTATAACTTTGCTGGGAGTGGTGTTGATGCGTGGAGAATTTATGATCTGAAGAGCTCTTTTCTTGCAGTCTTTGATGAAAAAAGAAGGAAAATGTAACTCTGTGAATGTTTGGTGAATGTATGTACACTCCTCGTCAAGAAACTCAGGACTACAAATTCTGTATGTTCTTAGGAAAAACCCGATGATGATGCCTCTTTTGGTCTTGGTATCTTGACTGGAATAGAAGTGTGTGAGATCATTTTTATTGGTGGGTTTCCGATAAACTTGAAATCTTAGGTTGTTGTCTACTTTGTGAATGAGGACGTCGAGGAAAGGTAGCTTGTCATTGGACTCTTCTTCTAGTGTAAACTGGATCGCCGGTTCAACTGCGTTGAGCCTTGCCTGAAGATCCCGTACATCAAAACGTTTTGGAGTTATTACGAGGACATCGTCCACGTAACGTAACCAAGTGACGCTTGAAGGGATGATGTTGGCGAAGTGTTCGGACTCTAGGTGTTCCATGTATAAGTTGGCTAGGACGGCACTGCCTATTCACGTCAGGAATAGGCAGTGCTCCACACAAACTAGCCGGAGTTCTTGCCAAACATCTTTCCTGCCTTCTGGGGGGCCATCAGCCCCGCTCATCTTAAACACTAGGTGACCTTCTCAACCGCATCCGTAACCTCTCCATCCGTAACAAGAAACTAAGCAGTTTGGATGTGACTTCCCTCTTCACAAAAGTACCTACCAAAAAAGCCATCGAGGTTCTACGACGTAAAGTCAATCAGGACCTTAATCTTCCTCTACCTCCCGGAGATTTTGTTGACTTAATTGAACTCTGTGTTAATTTCAACTGTTTTCCTTTCAATAACAAGCTCTACAAACAAACCTACGGCATGGGAATGGGGGTCCCCATCAGTGCCGTCCTAGCCAACTTACACATGGAACACCTAGAGTCCGAACACTTCGCCAACATCATCCCTTCAAGCGTCACTTGGTTACGTTACGTGGACGATGTCCTCGTAATAACTCCAAAACGTTTTGATGTACGGGATCTTCAGGCAAGGCTCAACGCAGTTGAACTGGCGATCCAGTTTACACTAGAAGAAGAGTCCAATGACAAGCTACCTTTCCTCGACGTCCTCATTCACAAAGTAGACAACAACCTAGATTTCAAGTTTATCGGAAACCCACCAATAAAAATGATCTCACACACTTCTATTCCAGTCAAGATACCAAGACCAAAAGAGGCATCATCATCGGGTTTTTCCTAAGAGCATACCGAATTTGTAGTCCTGAGTTTCTTGACGAGGAGTGTACATACATTCACCAAACATGCACAGAGTTACATTTTCCTTCTTTTTTCATCAAAGACTGCAAGAAAAGAGCTCTTCAGATCATAAATTCTCCACGCATCAACACCACTCCCAGCAAAGTTATAATTCTTCCCAACAGTCAGGTTGCACTGAACGTCTCAAAGCACTTTCACAAGCTAACACCAGAGTCGCCATCGCTTCTAGCACTTCAATAAAGGATATAACCAGGACAAAATCCCAAGCACCACGAACCAGTCAATGCAGGAGTTTACACTATACCCTGTGGAGGCTGTGACAAGATTTACGTAGGTGAAACAGCAGAAACCTCGACACCCGCCTCAATGAACACATTTACGCATGTAGGAACGATAACCTGAACAACGCCTGTGTACAACACCGAATTCCTCCAATCATCTCATGAAATTCAGAGACGCCCAATTAGTGATCAAAGAAACTAATTTCCGCAGACGCAAGTGCCTCGAATCAGCACTGATCGCTGTTTCGAATACAATTAAACAAAACAACGGCAGCTTCACCATCTCCGAAGTCTTAGCAAGAATCCTCCTGAAAACAGTAAACCCTGCCATCACATAGTCTCTCCTGTTATACTACACAAAGCACAGAGAGTGAACACTGAAACAAGCTGCCTCATTCCAGTTTATATTTGTCCAATCTATTTTTATGTTACCCAAGTAATAGCTTTTATATCCTTTTACTCATGTACGAATTAATTGCTCTACCATATTGTATTACTTTTGTCACTACCACTACTACTACTACCACTAGTGAACATCGAAATGGTACCTCACTAGTATTACACCTCACTCTGAGCCTTTATATACCCTCTGTGTCCATGTATTGTTTGTAATGGCTTGATAAAGCTCCTGGAGAGCGAAACATTGCCACAATAAATGTCACCTTAGTTGCACTTGTGACAATTATGTGACTGAAGAAATACTTCCTAACATCCCTGTGAGTTATCTGAGTGTGTGTACTCACCTATTTGTGGTTACAGGGGTCGATTCATAGCTCCTGGCCTCGCCTCTTCGCTGATTGCTACTGGGTCCTCTCTCTCCCTGCTCCATGAGCTCTATCATACCTCGCCTTAAAACTATGTATGGTTCCCGCCTCCACTACGTCACTTTCTAGGCTATTCCACGGCCTGACTACTCTATGACTGAAGAAATACTTCCTAACATACCTTTGATTCATCTGAGTCTTCAACTTCCAATTGTGACCTCTTGTTTGTGTCCCCTCCCTGGAACATCCTGTCTTTGTCCACCTTGTCTATTCCGTGCAGTATTTAATATGTCGTTATCATGGCTCCCCTGACCCTCCTGTCCTCCAGTGTCGTCAGGCCGATTTCCCTCAACCTTTCTTCGTAGGACAATCCCCGTAGCTCTGGAACTAGTCTTGTTGCAAACCTTTGCGCTTTCTCTAATTTCTTGACGTGCTTGACCAGGTGTGGGTTCCAAACTGGTGCTGCATACTCCAGTATGGGCCTGACGTAAATGGTATACAGAGTCTTAAACGAATCCTTACTGAGGTATCGGAACACTATCCGTAGGTTTGCCAGACGCCCGTATGCTGCAGCAGTTATCTGATTGATGTGCGCCTCAGGAGATATACTCGATGTTATACTCTCCCCCAGATCTTTTTCCTTGAGTGAGGTTTGCAGCCTTTGTCCATCTAGACTATATTGTGTCTGTGGTCTTCTTTGCCCTTCCCCAATCTTCATGACTTTGCATTTGGAAGGGTTAAACTCAAGGAGCCAATTGCTGGACCAGGCTTGTAGCCTGTCCAGGTCTCCAGGTGTGTGTGTGTGTGTGTGTGTGTGTGTGTGTGTGTGTGTGTGTGTGTGTGTGTGTGTGTGTGTGTGTGTGTGTTTGTGTGTGTGTGTGTGTGTGTGTTTGTGTGTGTGTGTGTGTGTGTGTGTGTGTGTGTGTGTGTGTGTGTGTGTGTTTGTGTGTGTGTGTGTGTGTGTGTGTGTGTGTGTGTGTGTGTGTGTGTGTGTGTGTGTGTGTGTGTGTGTGTGTGTGTGTGTGTGTGTGTGTGTTTGTGTGAAATTTGTAACAAACTGACTTAACAGCACAAATGAAATGCTGGGATTTGGCAAAACTAAGATTATCCATCAAATACTGTATCAGTCCACCTCTTTACCAGTTAAGCTACACAGGCTCACAAGCAGTACCGTAACCTAGAAATTCTTTTCTTGTTGGGAAGGTTTGTGCTAGCCACGAAACTGCGATCATTTCCATTTTTCTGAGGAGTACTACCCTCCCCACCTCCAGTAGCCATTCACAGAATTAGTTCTTGCTGCCTCTTCTAAGGTGCTTGTCAGCATGTCGAAAACTCGTAATAAATGAGTGTAATAATTCAAATGAACTGCCGGGAATCGAACCCGTGAGCTGGTGGTCCTAAGATTGTCAGTGCGGCTGTCAGCCAATTAGCTTACAGAGGGTGACAAACAGTTGTTTGAGTAATGAATTATCTTTTTCGGTCTGTGTGTTCACCTGTCTGTCTCTGTCTCCGCCTGTCTCTCTCACCTACTTTCTACCTATGACCCACTAATACACATCTTAGCCCACCTCACAGAAGCAACCTTCACTCACAATGGTGAACCTGTGTGGCTGGCACGTAGGAGACCATGAACCAGGCTTGCAGTGTTCCTGCACGGTTCATGACCAGGCACTCATAAAATCCTGTGTCCTCAGGCGTCGCCTTCTGCACCGTCAGCACTCCTTCATCGGCGTCCAGGACGACGTTGGCGTCCTTTGTTGTGTTCACCTCCACCCCATCCTGTCAAGATGTTGCCTGAGGATCACTTACTCTCAGTGGAGTGTTGGAAGGAAGGATGAATACATGTGAGATAATCACTATGAGGGTGAACAAGGTTAACTCTTCTACCCTCACTATCAGGTGAACAAGGTTAACTCTTCCACCCTCACTATCAGGTGAACAAGGTTAACTCTTCCACCCTCACTATCAGGTGAACAAGGTTAACTCTTCCACCCTCACTATCAGGTGAACAAGGTTAACTCTTCCACCCTCACTATCAGGTGAACAAGGTTAACTCTTCCACCCTCACTATCAGGTGAACAAGGTTAACTCTTCCACCCTCACTATCAGGTGAACAAGGTTAACTCTTCCACCCTCACTATCAGGTGAACAAGGTTAACTCTTCCACCCTCACTATCAGGTGAACAAGGTTAACTCTTCCACCCTCACTATCAGGTGAACAAGGTTAACTCTTCCTCCCTCACTATCAGGTGAACAAGGTTAACTCTTCCACCCTTACTATCAGGTGAACAAGGTTAACTCTTCCACCCTCACTATCAGGTGAACAAGGTTAACTCTTCCACCCTCACTATCAGGTGAACAAGGTTAACTCTTCCACCCTTACTATCAGGTGAACAAGGTTAACTCTTCCACCCTCACTATCAGGTGAACAAGGTTAACTCTTCCTCCCTCACTATCAGGTGAACAAGGTTAACTCTTCCTCCCTCACTATCAGGTGAACAAGGTTAACTCTTCCTCCCTTACTATCAGGTGAACAAGGTTAACTCTTCCACCCTCACTATCAGGTGAACAAGGTTAACTCTTCCTCCCTCACTATCAGTGTGAACAAGGTTAACTCTTCCTCCTCACTATCAGGTGAACAAGGTTAACTCTTCCTCCCTCACTATCAGGTGAACAAGGTTAACTCTTCCACCCTTACTATCAGGTGAACAAGGTTAACTCTCCACCCTCACTATCAGGTGAACAAGGTTAACTCTCCCACCCTCACTATCAGGTGAACAAGGTTAACTCTCCCACCCTCACTATCAGGTGAACAAGGTTAACTCTCTCACCCTCACTGTCAGGTGAACAAGGTTAACTCTTCCACCCTCACCATCAGGGTGAACAAGGTTAACTCTCCCACCCTCACTATCAGGTGAACAAGGTTAACTCTCCCACCCTCACTATAAGAGTGAAAAAGGTTAACTCTCCCACCCTCACTATCAGGTGAACAAGGTTAACTCTTCCTCCCTCACTATCAGGTGAACAAGGTTAACTCTCCCACCCTCACTATCAGGGTGAACAAGGTTAACTCTTCCACCCTCATTATAAGGTGAACAAGGTTAACTCTTCCACCCTCACCATCAGGGTGAACAAGGTTAACTCTCCCACCCTCACTATCAGGTGAACAAGGTTAACTCTCCCACCCTCACTATTAGGGTGAACAAAGTTAACTCTTCCACCCTCATTATCAGGTGAACAAGGTTAACTTTTCCACCCTCACTATTAGGGTGAACAAGGTTAACTCTTCCACCCTCATTATCAGGTGAACAAGGTTAACTTTTCCACCCTCACTATCAGATGAACAAGGTTAACTTTTCCACCCTCACTATTAGGGTGAACAAGGTTAACTTTTCCACCCTCATTATCAGGTGAACAAAGTTAACTTTTCCACCCTCACTATCAGGTGAACAAGGTTAACTTTTCCACCCTCATTATCAGGTGAACAAGGTTAACTTTTCCACCCTCACTATTAGGGTGAACAAGGTTAACTTTTCCACCCTCATTATCAGGTGAACAAGGTTAACTTTTCCACCCTCACTATCAGATGAACAAGGTTAACTTTTCCACCCTCACTATTGGGGGTGAACAAGGTTAACTTTTCACCCTTATTATCAGGTGAACAAAGTTAACTTTTGCACCCTCACTATCAGGTGAACAAGGTTAACTCTCCCACCCTCACTATCAGGGTGAACAAAGTTAACTCTTCCACCCTCATTATCAGGTGAACAAGGTTAACTTTTCCACCCTCACTATTAGGGTGAACAAGGTTAACTCTTCCACACTCATTATCTTCTAAGAATCTAAAGGTTACTTATCCCAACTCTTCCTTCAGATCAAATAATAAACAACTCTGGTAATGGGTTAAAGTAAACAAAGTCTCTACTCTGATATTTACCATACAAATATGGACTTATCCTCTGTTGATAATTATCTAATAAACTCTTATTCAATACAACTAAAGGAGAATAATACTAAGAGAGATCGAATTTACGGGACAATGATGTAATAAATGGTACTAGACAGACTTGAAATTACTATTAATTTTTTATTAACACATTGGCCATTTCCTATCAATGTAGGATGATCCGGAAAAGAGGAAACACTTTCATCATCATTCACTCCATCACTGACGTGCCAGAGGCGCGCCTGCACTACACTTATAAAACTGCAACATTAACACTCCTCCTTCAGAGTGCTGGCACTGTACTTCCCATCTCCAGGACTTAAGTCCAGCCTGCCGGTTTCCTTGACTCCTTTCATAAAAATTATCTTGCTCACACTCCAACAGCACGTCAAGTCCTAAAAACCACTTGTCTCCACTTGTTCTTACCTAACACGCTCACGCATGCTTGCTGGAAGTCCAAGCCCCACGCACACAAAACCCCTCTTTACCCCCTCCCTCCAACCATTCCTAGGCCGACCCCTACCCTGCCTTCCATCCACTACACATTTATACGCTTTTCAGGTAATTCTATTTCATTTCAGTCTCTCTAAATATCCGAACTACCTCAACATCCCCTCCTCAGCCTTCTGGATAATAGTTTTGGTAATTCCGCACCTCCTCCTAACTTCCAAACTACGAATTCTCTGCATTATATTCACACCGCACATTGCCCTCAGACATGGCATCTCCACTGCCTTCAGCCTTCTCCTCGTTGCAACATTCATCTCCCATGTTTCACACCCATATAAGAGTGTTGGTATAACTATACTCTCAAACATTCCTGTCTTTGCTTCTGTGGACAAAGTTCGTTGTCTCCACAGACTCCTAGGTGCACCACTCACCCTTTTCCCCTCATCAATTCTATGATTCACCTCATCTTTCATAGACTCATCTGCTGACACGTCCTCTCCTAAATATCTAAATGTATCCACCTCCTCCATATTCTCTCCCTCCAATCTGATATCCATTCTTTCATTGCTTAATTTTTTTTTGGTAATCCTCATCACCTTACTCTTTCCTATGTTCAGTTTTAATTTCCTTCTTTTACATACCCTACCAAACTCATCCACCAGCCTCTGCAACTTCTCTTCAGAATCTTCTAAAAGTACAGTGTCATCAGCAAAGAGCAACTGTGACAACTCCTACTTTGTGTTACATTCATTATTTTTTAATCTCACACCTCTTGCCAGAATAGCAGAATAAAATAAAGTCCACCCTCGTCTACCAGTTCACACCTCCATCTCCACAGAAAGGTTCCACTAGATATAGCAGACCAACTTCTCAGCACAGCTGCCACCTTACAAGTCCTTCTGACTCCTCGCTACTCCAACTAATAACGCAAGTTTACTCTCCTCCTAGTTTAGAGTTTCCTATGGAAACTCCGCTATGTGCTCTCTAGCTCTCTAGCACTTCGATGTGCTCTCTAGCTCTCTAGCACTTCGATGTGCTCTCTAGCTCTCTAGCACTTCGATGTGCTCTCTAGCCACCTTGCACCAGTGGTAGGAAGGGGAAGGCATCATAGCTCACCTTGCTCCAGTGGTAGGCAGGGGAAGGCATCATAGCTCACCTTTGTCCAGTGGTAGGCAGGGGAAGGCATCATAGCTCACCTTGCTCCAGTGGTAGGAAGGGGAAGGCATCACAGCTCACCTTGCTCCAGTGGTAGGCAGGGAAAGGCATCATAGCTCACCTTGCACCAGTGGTAGGAAGGGGAAGGCATAATAGCTCACCTTGCACCAGTGGTAGGCAGGGGAAGGCATCATAGCTCACCTTGCTCCAGTAGTAGGAAGGGGAATTCATCATAGCTCACCTTGCACCAGTGGTAGGAAGGGGAAGGCATTATAGCTCACCTTGCACCAGTGGTAGGAAGGGGAAGGCATAATAGCTCACCTTGCACCAGTGGTAGGCAGGGGAATTCATCATAGCTCACCTTGCACCAGTGGTAGGAAGGGAAGGCATAATAGCTCACCTTGCTCCAGTGGTAGGAAGGGGAATTCATCATAGGTCACCTTGCACCAGTGGTAGGAAGGGGAAGGCATAATAGCTCACCTTGCTCCAGTGGTAGGAAGGGGAAGGCATCATAGCTCACCTTGCACCAGTGGTAGGAAGGGGAATTCATCATAGCTCACCTTGCACCAGTGGTAGGAAGGGGAAGGCATAATAGCTCACCTTGCACCAGTGGTAGGAAGGGGAATTCATCATAGCTCACCTTGCACCAGTGGTAGGAAGGGGAATTCATCATAGCTCACCTTGCTCCAGTGGTAGGAAGGGGAAGGCATCATAGCTCACCTTGCTCCAGTAGTAGGAAGGGGAATTCATCATAGCTCACCTTGCACCAGTGGTAGGAAGGGGAAGGCATCATAGCTCACCTTGCTCCAGTGGTAGGAAGGGGAAGGCCTCATAGCTCACCTTGCTCCAGTGGTAGGAAGGGGAAGGCATCGTAGCTCACCTTGCACCAGTGGTAGGAAGGGGAAGGCATCATAGCTCACCTTGCTCCAGTGGTAGGAAGTGGAAGGCATCATAGCTCACCTTGCTCCAGTGGTAGGAAGGGGAAGGCATCATAGCTCACCTTGCTCCAGTGGTAGGAATGGGAAGGCATCATAGCTCACCTTGCTCCAGTGGTAGAAAGGGGAAGGCATCATAACTCACCTTGCTCCAGTGGTAGGAAGGGGAAGGCATCATAACTCACCTTGCTCCAGTGGTAGAAAGGGGAAGGCATCATAGCTCACCTTGCTCCAGTGGTAGGAAGGGGAAGGCATCATAACTCACCTTGCTCCAGTGGTAGGAAGGGGAAGGCATCATAACTCACCTTGCTCCAGTGGTAGGAAGGAGAAGGCATCATAACTCACCTTGCTCCAGTGGTAGGAAGGGGAAGGCATCATAGCTCACCTTGCACCAGTGGTAGGAAGGGGAAGGCATCATAGCTCACCTTGCTCCAGTGGTAGGCAGGGGAAGGCATCATAGCTCACCTTGCACCAGTGGTAGGAAGGGGAAGGCATCATAGCTCACCTTGCTCCAGTGGTAGGCAGGGGAAGGCATCATAGCTCACCTTGCACCGGTGGTAGGCAGGGGAAGGCATCATAGCTCACCTTGCTCCAGTGGTAGGAAGGGGAAGGCATCATAGCTCACCTTGCACCAGTGGTAGGCAGGGGAAGGCATCATAGCTCACCTTGCTCCAGTGGTAGGCAGGGGAAGGCATCATAGCTCACCTTGCTCCAGTGGTAGGCAGGGGAAGGCATCATAGCTCACCTTGCTCCAGTGGTAGGAAGGGGAAGGCATCATAGCTCACCTTGCACCAGTGGTAGGCAGGGGAAAGCATTATAGTTCACCTTGCTCCAGTGGTAGGCAGGGGAAGGCATCATAGCTCACCTTGCTCCAGTGGTAGGCAGGGGAAGGCATCATAGCTCACCTTGCACCGGTGGTAGGCAGGGGAAGGCATCATAGCTCACCTTGCACCAGTGGTAGGAAGGGGAAGGCATCATAGCTCACCTTGCTCCAGTGGTAGGCAGGGAAGGCATCATAGCTCACCTTGCACCAGTGGTAGGAAGGGGAAGGCATCATAGCTCACCTTGCTCCAGTGGTAGGCAGGGGAAGGCATCATAGCTCACCTTGCACCATTGGTAGGAAGGGGAAGGCATCATAGCTCACCTTGCTCCAGTGGTAGGCAGGGGAAGGCATCATAGCTCACCTTGCACCGGTGGTAGGCAGGGGAAGGCATCATAGCTCACCTTGCTCCATTGGTAGGAAGGGGAAGGCATCATAGCTCACCTTGCATCAGTGGTAGGCAGGGGAAGGCATCATAGCTCACCTTGCTCCAGTGGTAGGCAGGGGAAGGCATCATAGCTCACCTTGCACCAGTGGTAGGAAGGGGAAGGCATCATAGCTCACCTTGCTCCAGTGGTAGGAAGGGGAAGGCATCATAGCTCACCTTGCACCAGTGGTAGGCAGGGGAAGGCATCATAGCTCACCTTGCTCCAGTGGTAGGCAGGGGGTGGCACTCCTGTTGCAGTACACTCTAGTCTCAATGTCTCTCTCTTATGAAGGTGGTGAGTGGTGTTGAGGGTCAAGTTTGTGGTCCAGACCGGTGACTCCATACCTGGTAAAGGTGCACCAGAGGAACACTCATTGGCAACACTTCACATAATGTATTGCTGCTAGGTTTTAAACGTCTGGAATGAGGTGCAAATGACTTTTGATGTTACAACACTTGAAACAGAAGAAGAAGACGACGAAGGAGAAAAAGAAGAAAGATGTAGTGGAGGGTTACATAAGTGTGTACTCACCTAACTGTGGTTGCAGGGGTCGAGACTCAGCTCCTGGCCCCGCCTCTTCACTGAACGCTGCTAGGTCCTCTCTCTCCCTGCTCCATGAGCTTTATCATACCTCGTCTTAAAGCTCTGTACGGTTCCTGCCTCCACTACATCACTCGCCAGACTGTTCCACTTCCTAATCACTCTATGACTGAAGAAATACTCCCTAACATCCCAGTGACTCATTTGAGTCTTCCTCTTCCAAGAGTGACCCCGTGTTTCTGTGTCCCATCTTTGGAACATCTTGTCTCTGTCCACCTTGTCTATTCCACGCAGTATTTTGTATGTCGTTATCATATCTCTCCTAACACTTCTGTCCTCCAGTGTCGTCAGGCCTTTCTTCGTAGGACATTCCCCTTAACTCTGGAACTAACCTTGTCGCAAACCTTTGCACTTTCTCTAATTTCTTAACGTGCTTGACCCGGTTCGGGTAAAAAACTGGTGCTGCATACTCCAGTAGGGGCCTGACGTACCCGGTGTACAGTGTCTTGAAAGATTCCTTACTTAGGTAACGGAACGCTAATCTCAGGTTTGCTAGGCGCCCATATGCTGCAGCAGTTATCTGGTTGATGTGTGCCTCCAGAGACGTGGTCAGTGTTATACTCACTCCAAGATCTTTCTCCTTGAGCGAGGTTTGCAATCTTTGGCCACCTATACTCTGTCTCCGGTCTTTTTTGCCCTTTTCCGATCTTCATGACTTTGCATTTGCAGGGTTGAATTCGAGAAGCCAGTTGCTGGACTAGGTGTCCAGCCTGTCCAGGTCTCTTTGAAGTCCTGCCTGGTCCTCATCTGATTTAATTCTCTTCATTAACTTCACATCATCTGCAAACACGGACACCTCTGAGTCTATCCCTTCCATCATGCCATTCACATATACCAAAAATAGCACTGGTCGTAGGACCGACCCCTGTGGGACCCCGCTCGTCTCAGGTGCCCAGTGTGATGCCTCATCACGTACCATGACTCGTTGTTGCCTCCCTGTCAGGTATTCTCTGATCCATTGCAGTGCCCTTCCCATTATACCTGCCTGATCCTCTAGTTTCTGTACTAATCTCTTGTGAGGAACTGTGTCGAAGGCCTTCTTGCAGCCCAAGAAAATGCAATCATCCCACCCCTCTCTCGTGTCTTAATTCTGTAACTCCAGAAGGTTTGTGACAGAGGATTTGCCTTTCATGAATCCGTGCTGGTTGTCGTTTATAATATTGTTCCGTTCTAGGTGCTCCACCACTCTCCTCCTGATAATCGTCTCCATGACTTTGCATACTATACACGCCAGTGACACTGGTCTGTAGTTTAGTGCCTCTTTTCTGTCTCCTTTTTCAAAAATGGGAACTACATTTGCCGTCTTCCATACTTCGGTTAGTTGCCCAGTTTCAAGGGATGTGGTGAAGATTGTGGTTAATGGCACACACAGCGTTTCTGCTCCCTCTCTATGGACCCACTGTGAGATATTGTCCAATCCCATTGTCTTTGAGGTGTCAAGGTCACTTAGCAGCTTCTTCACCTCCTCCTTAGTTGTGTGTATGTCATCCAGCACTTGTTGGTGTATTCCCTGTTGGTGTCCCCCTCTGTCCTGTCTCCACTGTGAATACTTCCTTAAATCTCTTGTTGAGCTCCCCGCATACCTCTTGATCGTTTCTTGTGAGTTCCCCACCTTCTTTCCTCAGCCTGATCACCTGGTGTAACACTGTTGTCTTTCTCCTAATGTGGTTATACATCAGTTTCGCGTCAGACCTGGCTTTCAATGCTATGTCGTTTTCGTACTGTCGCTGAGCCTCCCTCCTTATCTGTGCATATTCGTTTCTGGCTCTCTGCTAATCTTCTTATTTTATTGGGTCCTTTGCCTTCTGTACCTCTTCGATTCTCTAATGCACATAGTTTTTGCCTCCCTACACCTTCAGGTAAACCAAGGACTCGCTTTGGTCTTCCCATTATTTCTGTTGCCCTTGGGAACAAACCTTTCTTCTGCCTCCTTGCACTTTGTTGTTACATATTCCATCATTTCGTTTACTGACTTTCCTACCAGTTCTCTGTCCCACTGAACCTCCCGCAGGAAGTTCCTCATACCAGTGTAGTCCCCCCTTTCATAGTTTGGCTTTTCCCATTCGACTCTTCCCATTCGACTTTTCCCATTCGACTCCTGTGTGCAAGTGTCAACATGTATTCTCGTTTACGTTGGTGATGAACGTTCTCCAGCTCCTGGACCTCGTCTTTTCGCTATTGTTGATGGATGTGATAACCTTTCTTAACCTAATTAGTTTGAGAATATTTGAATTAACCTCTCGCTCCGGATTGTGCCTCCATCCCGACTCTCCCAGTGTGTGTTCCACTCTCAATCTCTACAGTGTGTGTTCCACTCTCAACCTCTACAGTGTGTGTTCCACGCTCAACCTCTACAGTGTGTGTTCCACTCTCAACCTCTACAGTGTGTGTTACACTCTCAACCTCTACAATGTGTGTTACATTCTCAACCTCTACAGTGTGTGTTTCACTCTCAACCTCTACAGTGTGTGTTACACTCTCAACCTCTACAGTGTGTGTTACATTCTCAATCTCTACAGTGTGTGTTACACTCAACCTCTACAGTGTGTGTTACACTCTCAACCTCTACAGTGTGTGTTACATTCTCAATCTCTTACAGTGTGTGTTTACACTCACCCTCTACAGTGTGTGTTACACTCTCAACCTCTACAGTGTGTGTTACGCTCTCAATCTCTACAGTGTGTGTTACACTCTCAACCTCTACAGTGTGTGTTACACTCTCAACCTCTACAGTGTGCGTTACATTTTCAACCTCTACAGTGTGTGTTACACTCTCAACCTACAGTGTGTGTTACACTCTGAACCTCTACAGTGTGTGTTACACTCTCAACCTCTACAGTGTGTGTTACATTCTCAATCTCTACAGTGTGTGTTACACTCTCAACCTCTACAGTGTGTGTTACATTCTCAATCTCTACAGTGTGTGTTACATTCTCAATCTCTACAGTGTGTGTTACACTCTCAACCTCTACAGTGTGTGTTACACTCTCAACCTCTACAGTGTGTGTTACATTCTCAATCTCTACAGTGTGTGTTACATTCTCAATCTCTACAGTGTGTGTTACACTCTCAACCTCTACAGTGTGTGTTACACTCTCAACCTCTACAGTGTGTGTTACATTCTCAATCTCTACAGTGTGTGTTACACTCTCAACCTTTACAGTGTGTGTTACATTTTCAACCTCTACAGTGTGTGTTACACTCTCAACCTCTACAGTGTGTGTTACATTCTCAATCTCTACAGTGTGTGTTACATTCTCAATCTCTACAGTGTGTGTTACACTCTCAACCTCTACAGTGTGTGTTACACTCTCAACCTCTACAGTGTGTGTTACATTCTCAATCTCTACAGTGTGTGTTACACTCTCAACCTTTACAGTGTGTGTTACATTTTCAACCTCTACAGTGTGTGTTACACTCTCAACCTCTTCACTGTGTGTTACACTATCAACCTCTACAGAGTGTGTTACATTCTCAATCTCTACAGTGTGTGTTACACTCTCAACCTTTACAGTGTGTGTTACACTCTCAACCTCTACAGTGTGTGTTACACTCTCAACCTCTACAATGTGTGTTACATTCTCAACCTCTACAGTGTGTGTTTCACTCTCAACCTCTACAGTGTGTGTTACACTCTCAACCTCTACAGTGTGTGTTACATTCTCAATCTCTACAGTGTGTGTTACACTCAACCTCTACAGTGTGTGTTACACTCTCAACCTCTACAGTGTGTGTTACATTCTCAATCTCTACAGTGTGTGTTACACTCAACCTCTACAGTGTGTGTTACACTCTCAACCTCTACAGTGTGTGTTACATTCTCAATCTCTACAGTGTGTGTTACACTCAACCTCTACAGTGTGTGTTACACTCTCAACCTCTACAGTGTGTGTTACATTTTCAACCTCTACAGTGTGTGTTACACTCTCAACCTACAGTGTGTGTTACACTCTGAACCTCTACAGTGTGTGTTACACTCTCAACCTCTACAGTGTGTGTTACATTCTCAATCTCTACAGTGTGTGTTACACTCTCAACCTCTACAGTGTGTGTTACACTCTCAACCTTTACAGTGTGTGTTACATTTTCAACCTCTACAGTGTGTGTTACACTCTCAACCTCTACAGCGTGTGTTACACTCTGAACCTCTACAGTGTGTGTTACACTCTCAATTTTTCACTGTGTGTTACATTCTCAATCTCTACAGTGTGTGTTACACTCTCAACCTCTACAGTGTGTGTTACATTCTCAATCTCTACAGTGTGTGTTACACTCAACCTCTACAGTGTGTGTTACACTCTCAACCTCTACAGTGTGTGTTACATTTTCAACCTCTACAGTGTGTGTTACACTCTCAACCTACAGTGTGTGTTACACTCTGAACCTCTACAGTGTGTGTTACACTCTCAACCTCTACAGTGTGTGTTACATTCTCAATCTCTACAGTGTGTGTTACACTCTCAACCTCTACAGTGTGTGTTACACTCTCAACCTTTACAGTGTGTGTTACATTTTCAACCTCTACAGTGTGTGTTACACTCTCAACCTCTACAGCGTGTGTTACACTCTGAACCTCTACAGTGTGTGTTACACTCTCAATTTTTCACTGTGTGTTACATTCTCAATCTCTACAGTGTGTGTTACACTCTCAACCTTTACAGTGTGTGTTACACTCTCAATCTCTACAGTGTGTGTTACACTCTCAACCTCTACAGTGAGTGTTACACTCTCCACCTCTACAGTGTGTGTTACACTCTCAACCTCTACAGTGTGTGTTACACTCTCAATTTTTCACTGTGTGTTACATTCTCAATCTCTACAGTGTGTGTTACATTCTCAACCTCTACAGGGCTCTGGTGGCCTGGTGGTTAACGCTCTCGCTTCACACGGTGAGGTCCTGGGTTCGATTCCCAGCCAGAGTAGAAACATTGGACGTGTTTCTTTCCACCTGTTGTCTATGTTCCCCATTAGTAAAATGGGTACCTGGGTGTGAGTCGACTGGTGTGGGTCGCATCCTGGGACACTGACCTAAGGAGGCCTGGTTACAGACCGGGCCGCGGGGGCGTTGACCCCCGGAACTCTCTCCAGGTAAACTCCAGGTAAGTGTGTGTTACACTCTCAATTTTTCACTGTGTGTTACATTCTCAATCTCTACAGTGTGTGTTACACTCTCAACCTCTACAGTGTGTGTTACATTCTCAATCTCTACAGTGTGTGTTACACTCTCAACCTTTACAGTGTGTGTTACATTTTCAACCTCTACAGTGTGTTACACTCTCAACCTACAGTGTGTGTTACACTCTGAACCTCTACAGTGTGTGTTACACTCTCAACCTCTTCACTGTGTGTTACACTCTCAACCTCTACATTGTGTGTTACATTCTCAATCTCTACAGTGTGTGTTACACTCTCAACCTTTACAGTGTGTGTTACACTCTCAATCTCTACAGTGTGTGTTACACTCTCAACCTCTACAGTGTGTGTTACACTCTGAACCTCTTCTCTGTGTGTTACACTCTCAACCTCTACAGTGTGTGTTACACTCTCAACCTCTTCACTGTGTGTTACACTCTCAACCTTTACAGTGTGTGTTACACTCTCAATCTCTACAGTGTGTGTTACACTCTCAACCTACAGTGTGTGTTACACTCTCAACCTCTACAGTGTGTGTTACACTCTCAACCTCTACAGTGTGTGTTACACTCTCAACCTCTTCACTGTGTGTTACACTCTCAACCTTTACAGTGTGTGTTACACTCTCAATCTCTACAGTGTGTGTTACACTCTCAACCTACAGTGTGTGTTACACTCTCAACCTCTACAGTGTGTGTTACAGTCTCAACCTCTACAGTGTGTGTTACACTCTCAACCTCTTCACTGTGTGTTACACTCTCAACCTCTACAATGGAGAAATTCCCTATTATATCTCTCTGACTTAATCACATTTTTCAGGAGGAATCTTACTTCTTACCCGCTTTAGCGAAGCCCCGAGACCAAGTGAAGGGATTCAGGCTTCAGGGGATTGAAACCAGGGGGTAGGGAGGCTGTATGTTACAGAATTCATGAGCTGGCGAAGCATTACCCTAGAGTTAGGGTAATGCTTTATCAGCAATTTAGTGTCACAATAATTCCTTAGTGAACACCATCTCCTTGTCGATTTTCTTGGTGGCTGTGAGTATCATGTACGTCGTGATCATGTGCTTTCTCAATCTTCTTTCCTCTAGCCTCATGAGAAGTTAATCATATTAGGGTATCTTGTTAGCTGCCCTGGGTTTAAAGGCGAAGATGGTGTGAGACAGCAGGACCCCCACCAGTTATCTTTTTTGGTATTTTTTAGAGTGAAAGGCGGCATGAGTGCCCTGAGAGGACATGTATTCTTAGAGTTCAGAGTACATGATAATGTACATGATAAATATACATGATAACTACAAGTATATGACTACTGGTAAAACTATTTTTATGCATATGATAACTACTAGAGTATCGACAACAAAATTAAGAGCTACTGCTATTTCTACTGCTATTACTACAACACTACTACTAATACTGTTATTACTCTACTGCTGCTACTACTGCTACTACTACTACTATCATGTCTAAAACAGTTCTTTGTAGCACTACTCGTACTGCTGTTTATTTCTGTTATTGCTATTATAAAAATAATTCCGATGGTACTACTACTGCTTTACTATTGCTACTACTACTACTACTACTACTACTACTACTACTACTACTACTACTACTACTACTACAACTACTACAACTACTATACTACTATACTATACTACTACTACTACTTACATACCTACTACTACTACTATACAACTACTAACTAACTACTACTACTACTACAACTACTACTACCTATACCTTACTACTACTACTACTACTACTACTACTACTACTACTACTACTACTACTACTACTACTACTACTACTACTACTACTACTACTACTACTACTACTTACTACTACTATACTACTACTACTACACTACTACTACTACTATACTACTACTACTACTACTACTACTACTACTATACATACTACTACTACTACATACTACTACTACTACTACTACTACTACTACTACTAACTACTTACTACTACTATACTACTACTACTACTACTACTAACTACTACTACTACTACTACAACTACTACTACTACTACTACTTACACTACTACTACTACTACTATACTACTACTACTAACTACTACTTACTATACTACATACTACATACTACTACTTACAAATACTCTACTACTACTACTACACTAACTACTACTATACTACTACTACTACTACTACTACACTATACTACTACTACTAACTACTACTACTACTACTCTACTTACTATACACTACTACTACTACTACTCTAACTACTACTACTACTACAACTAACTACTACTACTACTACTACTCAACTACTACTACTACTACTACTACTACTACTATACTACTACTACTATACTATTTACTACTACTACTACACTACTACTAAACTACTACTACTATACTATATACTTAACTATACTACTACTAACTACTACTACAACTACTACTACTACTACTACTACTACTCTACTACTACTACTACTACACTACTACTTTACTAACTACTACTACACTAACTACTACTATACTACTACTACTACTACTACAACTACTACTACTATACTACTCTACTACTACTACTACTACAACTACTACTACAACTACTATACTTACTACTATACTATACTACTACAACTATACTACTACTACACTACTATACTACATACTACTACATACTACTACTACTATACTACTACTATACTACTACTACTATACTACTACTACTACTACTATACTACACTACTACTACTACTACTACAACTACTACTAATCTACAACTACTACTATTTATTTACTACTACAAACTACTACTACTACTACTACTACTACTACTAACTACTATACTACTACTACTACTACTACTACTACATACTACTACAACTACTACTACTCTACTACTACAACTACTACTACTACTACTACTACTAACTACATACTACTACTACTACTACTACTACTACTACTACTTCTACTATTACTACTTACTACTACTACTACTACAACTACTACTACTACTACTACTACTACTACTACTACCACACCACCATCTACCACTAATGGAGCATAGCAATTGAACACCCAGAAACATCCTATCATAAAATATTTCCAAACCACTTGTAGAAATACTTTTATACTAACGTTGAACCTTGAGGTTCACGAACTTCTCCACTGTCCCACTGCCTGTGTTGGTGCCAGTGGTGATGGTACTGCCAGGGTTGGTGCCGCTGATGGTGCCAATACAGGAGTAGTTCCCATCAGCAGCAAGGGTTACAGAGCCTAACACAGCTTCACACACGCGGCTGTAGTTCGTCAGGTAACCTGAGTAAGAAAACAACTTTGGGTACTAAATGTGTACACAAAACAGTCAACAAACTATAGCGAGAACTTACTGGTGGTTATAACAACAACAACAATTGTATGACCATTAGGAAGAAGAAAAAAAAGCCCTCATATCTTTGAAGGCTGTGAGGTACAGACTACCAGAGATAACGTACAATGAGAGTTGATGACCTGGTGCTGGTGACTCCAGGTCCATCTTAGGTCAGTGAGGGAGGTCATGAGGCTGACCCAACAGCTAAGGGTCACGTTGTCGCCTTCCACCACATTCTGCCATACTTCCCGATGGTGTTCCCGAAGTGAAGCAGCGTCTGCCAGGGACAGGTAAGATGGTGAAGCAGTGTCTGCCAGGGACATGTAAGATGGTGAAGCAGTGTCTGCCAGGGACATGTAAGATAGTGAAGCAGTGTCTGCCAGGGACATGTAGCAAGGTGAAGCAGTGTCTGCCAGGGACATGTAAGATAGTGAAGCAGTGTCTGCCAGGGACATGTAGCAAGGTGAAGCAGTGTCTGCCAGGGACATGTAACAAGGTGAAGCAGTGTCTGCCAGGGACATGTAAGATGGTGAAGCAGTGTCTGCCAGGGACATGTAACAAGGTGAAGAAGTGTCTGCCAGGGACATGTGAGATGGTGAAGCAGTGTCTGCCAGGGACATGTAACAAGGTGAAGCAATGTCTGCCAGGGACATGTAAGATGGTGAGGCAGTGTCTGCCAGGGACATGTAACAAGGTGAAGCAGTGTCTGCCAGGGACATGTAAGATGGTGAAGCAGTGTCTGCCGGGGACATGTAACAAGGTGAAGCAGTGTCTGCCAGGGACATGTAAGATGGTGAAGCAGTGTCTGCCAGGGACATGTAACAAGGTGAAGCAGTGTCTGCCAGGGACATGTAACATGGTGAAGCAGTGTCTGCCAGGGACATGTAAGATGGTGAAGCAGTGTCTGCCAGGGACATGTAAGATGGTGAAGCAGTGTCTGCAGGGAGATGTAAGATGGTGAAGCAGTGTCTGCCAGGGACATGTAAGATGGTGAAGCAGTGTCTGCCAGGGACATGTAAGATGGTGAAGCAGTGTCTGCCAGGGACATGTAACAAGGTGAAGCAGTGTCTGCCAGGGACATGTAAAAAGGTGAAGCAGTGTCTGCCAGGGACATGTAACAAGGTGAAACAGTGTCTGCCAGGGACATGTAACAAGGTGAAGCAGTGTCTGCCAGGGACATGTAACAGGTGAAGCAGTGTCTGCCAGGGACATTAACAGGTGAAGCAGTGTCTGCCAGGGACATGTAAAAAGGGAAGCAGGGGTCTGCCAGGGACATGTAAAAATGGGTGAAGCAGTGTCTCCCAAGGGACATGTAAGATGGTGAAGCAGTGTCTCCCAAGGGACATGTAACAAGGTGAACAGTGTCTGCCAGGGACATGTAAACAAGATGAAGCATTTGTCTGCCTGGGACATGTAACAAGGTGAAGCAGTGTCTCCCGGGGACATGTAAAACAGGTGAAGCAGTGTCTGCCAGGGACATGTAACAAGGTGAAGCAGTGTCTGCCAGGGACATGTAACAAGGTGAAGCAGTGTCTGCCAGGGACATGTAACAAGGTGAAGCAGTGTCTGCCAGGGACATGTAACAAGGTGAAGCAGTGTCTGATGGACTTTAACAAGGGAAGCAGTGTCTGCCAGGGACATGTAACAAGGTGAAGCAGTGTCTGCCAGGCATGTAACATGGTAAAACCAGTGTCTGCTAGGAATTAAATTGGTGAGAAGGTCTGCCAGGGACATGTAACAAGGTGAACAGTGTCTGCCAGGAATATAAAAAGGTGATGCAGGTCTGCCAGGGACATGTAAAAAGGTTTGAAGCAGTGTCTGCCAGGGAAATGAAAGTGGTAAGAGTGTCTGCAGGGACATGTAACAAGGTGAAGCGGGTGTCTGCCAGGGACATGTAACAGGTGAAGAAGTGTTTTGCCAGGGACATGAAAGATGGTGAAGCAGTGTCTGCCAGGGACATGTTAAAGGTGAAGCAGTGTCGCCAGGGAAATGTAACGGTGTGAAGCAGTGTCAGCCAGGGACATGTAAAAGGTGAGGCAGTGTCTGCCAGGGACATGAAAGGTGAAGCAGTGTCTGCCAGGGACATGTAAGAGGTGAAGCAGTGTATGCCGGGCCCATGAAACAAGGTGAAGCAGTGTCTGCCGGGGACATAAAACAAGGTAAAGCAGTGTCTGCCAGGGACATGTAACAGGGGTAAGCATGTTTGACAGGGACATTTAAAAAGGGTAAAGGGCGTGTCGGCCAGGGAAAAGAAAGGGAGGGTGAGGAAAGCGTCTGCCGGGGACATGTTCAGGGGTGAAGCAGGGGTCTGAAAGGGGGAAAAATGTAAAAAGGTAAAGCAGTGTTTTCCCCGGGGATATGTAACAGGGGAAAGCAGCGTCTGCCAGGGACATGAACAAGGTGAATCGGGGGCCTGCCGGGATATGAAAACATGGTAAAGGGTAGCGTCTGCCAGGGGGGAAGAAACCTGGGGGAACCCAGTGTCTGCCATGGACTTTGAAAACGGGGTAAGCGGGTCTCCCGGGGACATGAAACCCTGGTGAAGCAGGGTCTGCCAGGGACATTTTAAAAAGGTGAACTTTGTCGGCCGGGAAAACATGTAAAAAAAAAGGTGAACCCAGTGCCCCCCCGGGGACATGTAACAAAATTAAGCAGTGTCTGCCAGGGACATTAAAAAGGGTGAAGCAGTGTCTGCCAGGGGAATGTAACAGTGAAGCTGGTCTGCCGGGACTTGTAAAAAGGGTAAAGGCAGTGCTGCCGGGGACATGAAAACATGGTGAAGAAGTGTCTCCCAGGGAAAATGTAAGATGGTGAAGCCAGTGTCTGCCGGGGGAAAATGAAAGATGGTGAAGCATTGTCGGCCAGGGCCCGTGTAAGATGGTGAAGCAGTGTCTGCCAGGGACTGAAAAGGATGGTGAAGCAGTGTCGCCGGGGACATGAAACGGGTGAAGCAGTGTCGCCCTTGGACGGGTAAAAAGGTGAACCCAGTGTCTGCCAGGGACAGGAAACCCAAAAATGAAGCATGCCCGGGGGCCGGGGAAACTGTAACAAGGTAAAGCAGTGTTTTGCCAGGGACATGTAACAAGGTAAAGGGCAGTGTCTGCCAGGGCATGAAACAAGGTGAAGCGGTGTCTCCCGGGGACAGGGGAAACCCATGGGGAAGAAGTGTCGCCGGGGGAACAGGGTAAGGGGGGTGAAAGCGTGCCCTGCCGGGGAACATTTTAACATGGTGAAGCAGGGGCCCGGGCCAGGCAATTTTAAGAGGGGTAAAAACCAGTGCCCTGCCCAGGAAAAGTAAATGGTGAAGAAAGTGTCTGTCAGGGGACAGGTAATGGTGAAGCAGGTTTTGGCCAAGGACATAAAAACAAGGCGAAGAGTGTCTCCCAAGGGACATGTAACAAGGGGAACCCAGTGTCTGCCAGGGAAAATGAAAACCTTGGGGAAGCAGTGCCCTGCCGGGGGACATTTTAAGAGGTAAAAGCAGTGTCTGCCAGCGACATTTTGGGATGGTAAGCAGTGCCCGGGCCAGGGACATTAACATGGTGAAGCATTTGCGGGTCAGGGACATGTAACATGGTAAAGCGGGCCCTGCCGGGGATTGTACAAGGTGAAGCGTGTCTGCCGGGGGAATGTAACAAGGGGGAAGCAGTGTTCCCGGGGACATGTAACATGGTGAAGAAGTGCCCGCCAGGGACATGAAAGGATGGTAAACCATGTTTCCCCGGGGACATGAAAATGGTAAAAGCAGTGTCTGCCGGGAAAATATATACATGGTAAATGCAGGGTCTGCCGGGGGAATATGTAACAAGGAAGCGTGTCTCCCGGGGAATATAAAACCCATGGTCATGCAGGGTCTGCCGGGTTTATGTAAAAAGGTGAAGCAGTGTTTTTGCCATGGAAAATGTACAAGGTGGAAGCATGTCTGCCGGGGGATATATAACAGGGGGGTTTGGATGCGGGGGTCTGCCAGGGATATGTAAAAGGTAAAAGGGCAGTGTCTGCCAGGGACATTTAAAAAGGGTAAAGCAGTGTTGCCGGGGACATGAAAAAGGTAAACAAGTTTTGCCGGGAAAAACATGTAACATGGGAAAAACGTGTCTGCCGGGGAATGAAAAAAGGGGAAAAGGGCCGTGCCCTGCCCAGGGACATGAAAAAAGGTAAAGGGGCATGGGGCCGGGGGACTTTGTAACTTTTGGGGAAACTGTCTGCCAGGGAAAAGGTAAAAAAGGGGGAAAAAGCTAAATTTTCTGCGAGGGACTTTGTAACGGTGAAGTAGTGCCCCGGGGAAACCTTTTGAAAAAAACATGGTAAAAAACAGTGTCTGCCGGGGGAAAGTAAAAAGGGTTTGAAGCAGTGTCTCCCGGGGGACATTTTAACAAGGTGAAGCAGTGTTGCCGGGGAAACCATGTAAAAAGGGGGAAGCGGGTGTCTGCCAGGGACGTGTAAAAAGGTGAACCCGGGTCCCCTGCCAAAAAACATGTAAAAAGGGTGGGGGTTGTCTCCCGGGGACATTTTAACAAGGTGAAGCAGTGTTTTGCCAGGGAATGTAAAAAAGGTGAAGCAGTGTCTCCCGGGGGACATGTAAAAAAGGGGAAGCAGGCCCTGCCAGAGCAATTTAACATGTTAAAGCAGGGGGCCCTGCGGGGAATATAACATGGTGAACAGTGTCCCCCGGGGGATATGGGGGAAAAAGGGTGAAGCAGTGCTGCCGGGGACATGAACAAGGTGAACCCAGTGTCTCCCAGGGACATGTAACAAGGTAAAGCTTTGTCTGCGGGGGACATAAAATTTGGGTTTAAAGGGCGGGGCTGGGGCCCATGTAAAAAAGGGGTTGAAGCAGTGCCCCGCCAGGGCATGTAACGGGTTTGAAGCAGTGTCTCCCGGGGAAAACCAATGAAAACAAGGTGAAGCAGTGTCTACCAGGGAAAAGTAACAAGGTGAAGCGTTCTGCCAGGGAAATGTAACAAGTGAAGAAAGTTTTCTACCAGGGACATTGTAACAAGGTGAACAGTGTCTACCGGGGAAAAATGTAAAAAGGGTAAACGGTCTACCAGGGACATGTAAAAAGGTAAAGCAGTGTCTGCCAGGGACAAGAAACAAGGTGAAGCAGTGTTTCCCAGGGACATTAACAAGGTGAAGCATTTGTCTGCAATGGACATGTAAAAAAGGTGAAGCATGTTACCGGGGCCCATGTAACAAGGTGAAGCAGTGTCTGCCAGGGACATGTAACAAGGGGAAGCGTGCCCTGCCAGGGA